AAAAAGAAAAAGAAGAAGAAAAAAAACAAAATAGATTTAGGGTTTTTTTTTCTTTATTTTGTTTTAAAACCAATAGCCCAATTCCCAAATCTTAAATGAGGCCCAACTAAAACTACAATGGTCCAAAACAAAAGCCCACTAATTATGCTTTAGAAATAAAATAAACCCCCCTAAAACCCGAAATAAAATAGTTAACTTAAACTCTAAAACCCAAGAATAATAATTCAAAGAAAAGTAGAATTTAGGAAGGAAAATCCTAAAACTCGTGAATTTAGAATTTAACTAAAAATCTCCTACACAGGTCGAGAACTTAAATTATCTTAATCCAAAGAAATTAAACTTAATTCTAATTTAGCCAAAAATTAGAATTTCAAAGTTAGAAAATCCAACAATTAAAGTTACCAACTTAGGGAAAAATTCAAAGACACTATTTATCTCTTAAAATAAACGAGTCAGAGAACGCGGGGCGTTACAGAAAACAAATCTGGCGATCTCTCGAGCCTTCGTTCTTCGCGTTCCTTCCAATCTTCTCACAATCCCAACTTTTCTATCTAAAAACGTTATGCTCTTCTCTTTTTCCGCTTCGGCGACTAGGGCTAATATGAAATATTTAACAAAATTATGTTGCGAGCGCCTAGGTGCCTAAACACGTGCCAGAAAAAACCCCGCTTCCAACTTCGTAGCGCCTAGGCTCCCAACATTCTGCAAGCTGGTGCCTAGGTGCCCAACATTTTGCCATTTTGTCAATTTTCGGCGCCTAGGCGTCCAACGCACTGCAATTTGACTCGATTTTACCTCTTTATTTGCTCTTTTTCTCTTCTTCTTCAACTCAAGTCCTACAAAGGAAAGAAACACTAAAAACGATAAACCTATCCAAAGAAAATGTCCATAAAAACTATCAAAAAAGTCAGAACACCCTAAATTACGAGAGCCAAAAGTCACTTATCAAAATACCCCCAAACTTATCATTTTGCTCGTCCTCGAGTAAAGACAAACAATCAAAGAAATTTAAAGCAACGACCAAAGTATTATTGAGTAGAGATAGACTCAAGCTTCAAAAACAACAATTTCTTACTTTAAAAGAAAATGAAACTAAGCTCAAGCAATGCCAAAACTCTTTAACCGACAAGATAATTTTTCTCCTTTTAGGCCCTATACGTGTGTGCGTGCACAATGCTTCATAATTTGTCATCTCTCATCCCAAATATAAATTTTAAACTTAACCATTTCAGATCCACAAGATACATGCAAAGTACTAAATAGCATCACAATTCTAGGATAGGCAAGAATCCGCTCATATATCGTCTCAGGAAAGAAATCAGAACTTTAGCATCTGTCATTCTTATAAGCCAAGTCACCATGAGCCAAGAATGTTTAAATGATGAAGAGTTTTCTAAATCCAATATTTTCCTAACTCAAAAATTTTCCATACACTAAAAAATCTGCACACTTCCTTTTTGTTTCAACAATTTTTACACTTACAAAATCATAATATATTGACAATGGGTTGCACGAGGTTACACTAGATTATGTAACTATTACTACTAAGATCGCTAAAAAGCCACTCATAGCTTACTACTAGCAGTGTGTTTATAAGCAAGACACGAAAATATAATTGCATTTTCTTTCCTCTCCATTTTCTTTTCGCTCTTTTCTTTCTTCTCACTTATTTTTGCTAATCTTTTCCCGTCTCTTATTTTCTCTCAAGCAAATAGTATGCAAAAATACGAATGTGATTTTTCTATTTTTATTATTATTTTTTTCTGTAAAGTATAATAAACATGTTCTTTCTGAAAAATAAAGTAGCAAAATACACTGGGAAAAGATATTTGAAAGCGCAAAAAAAAATGTTAAACATTTAGGACAAGGACTTCTCATATAGTGTTTTAAAAGTTTAAGTTTAGGAAAGACCAGCAGAAAAACCTTATTAAACAAACACATTGATAAATGGCTCACGGCTTATGGGAACAACAAACGCTAAATTTCTCCAATTTCTTAATTATCATCATAGACATGAGGTACTAACAAGACACACCCGAAACGTGAATTAATAGAGATTTAGCATGCTTTTCATGAATGATAAAACCAGCTAAGTGCAATCTTTAAGCAACCAGAAAAACAAAGTACTCAGAATTGTGTGATCAATAAGATTATAAAAGGGCAAAAAATAAAGTTAAACCAACTACACAATCAACAAGTTCAGCATGCTTGAAACTAGTTTAATATTTACTTTGTATGAGTAGAAACTATAATCACTAACACCAGCTATCATTGTCTAGGAGAACTCAACAAGGAACCACACCACCCTCAAACTTAAATCATGCATTGTCCCCAATGTATGAAAATGCATAAAGGGCAAGCAAATAATCAAATAAAATAAGGATAGGGGATACTGAGACTTCCCTGAGTGGCACGACTATAAAAATCAAATAACTTCGATGACTTCTTCTTCTTTTTTCCTTTCACCTTGCTCTCTTTCCTACATTCAAAAAGTAAAGTTAGAAAGAAATAAAACTAAAAAAATAAATAAAAATAATAGAAAAAATAAACAAAAGTTGCAAAATAAACATTTGAGTTGTCTTCCAATAGCACTTGATTTATAGTCCTTAGCCTGACCTTTCTTCTCCTCTTCAGGGTGGTTTAAAATAGTAGTATGATGCATATGACTTCGAAGAAGATGGGGATGATGGTGATATCGCCTCAATGATACAAGAGCAACTTGTGGGGTTATAATAAGGGTCGGAATGTTTGAAAACGTTGAAAATGACTGACTCGTCTTGAACCTTTAGTTTAAGCTCTCCCAACTCTACATCAATCTTCACTCTTCCCGTCGCCAAGAAAGGTCTTCCCAGAATAATAGGCATGTTTTCATCTTCCTCCATATCCAACACTAGAAAGTCCACAGGAAAGATGAATTTTCCTACTTTGACAAGAACGTCTTCAATGATCCCCCCTTGGGTACTTTATTGATCTATCAGCCAGCTGCAATGAAACTGTGGTCGGTCTCACCTCTCCAAGTCCCAATTTCCTGGAAATAGATAAAGGGAGTAAGTTAATATTGGCTCCTAACTCACATAAAGCATTTTCAAAGACAACATCACCAATTGAACAAGGAATAAAAAAATTCCCTGGATCTTTCAGTTTGGGCAGAAGTTTTCTTTGTAGTATAGCACTACACTCCTTTGTGAGTAGGATCATTTCATAATCCTCCAGCTTTCTTTTCTTCTGCAAGATGTCCTTCATGAATTTCATATACTGTGGCATTTGTGTGAGAGCATTTATAAAAGGAGTGTTAATATATAGTTTCTTAAAAATATCAATAAACTTACTAAACTGCTTATCCTTTTTGTTTTTCTGGAGACGTTGAGGAAATGGAATGGCCAATGAACTGGGTAATTGTGGTGTCGCAGTGTCCTCAACTATCTTAGTAGATGGTTCTGGTGTAATCTCTGTTTGTTGAACTGCTTTTGTAGGCTTCTTATTTTGCTCTGGTTCAACCAATTCCTTACCACTCCTCAAGGTAATTGTCTTACAGTGCTCCACTGGATTGACTTCTGTTGTGCTTGGCAAATTACCTGGAAGCCTATCCACCATGATGTTGGCAAACTGACCAACTTGTACCTCTAAGTTACGAATAAAAGCTGCTTGATTTTGGAAGTTAGTCTTTGTTTCGGACATGAACTGAGTTGTAGTGTTTGCCAGTTGTACCATTGCCTCTTCAAGGCTAGATTTCTTCTCTGTTGTTGAAATCTTGGTGATGGAGTAGGATTCTGACTCTAAATTCTCAACAAACTAAACTTGCTCATGTTGGCCTTGTATAAATAGGTTCCCCACTTGACAATCTTCACTACGATGGTTACCATAACAATCACAAAATGTAGGTGGTGTTCGAATAGCATTTACCGCAAGCTGACTTGATTGAAGTTGCTTGGTAAGGGAAGCAACCTGCGCGTTCAATGCAGCGATAGCATCCACCTCATTTACTCTCATCGGCCTTTTCTGAGTTGACCTCTCACTATGTCACTGGTAGTTGTTAAATGTCATTTCCTCCAGCAAATCATATGCTCCACTTTCAGTTTTTCCGATAAAGGCCCTTCCTGATGCTGCATCTATTGTAGTTCTTATTTCATTATCTAATCCATTATAAAAGTTATGCACTTGCATCCATTTAGGTAATCCATGATGGGGGCACTTTCTTATGAGCTCCTTGTATCTTTCTCATGCTTCATACAGTGTCTCTCCCTCAAACTGAGCAAAGTTATTAATCTCAACTCGAATCTTAACCAACTTGGCAGGTGGAAAGAACTTGGCAAGGAATTTCTGAGCCAAATCATTCCATGTCTGAATTGAATCTGTCAGCAGAGACTTCAACTATTGCTTAGCTCGGTCCTTTAGAGAGAAAGGAAAAAGCCTTAGTTTGATAGCCTCGTCTGTCACTCCATTATATTTGAATGTGTCGCAGATCTCCAAAACATTTGTGATATGAGTATTTGGATCTTCGCTGGGTAATCCAAAAAATTGTACTGAAGTCTGGATCATCTGAAGCGTAGCCGACTTGATCTCAAAATTGTTCGCTTGAATTGCTTGTCTTCGAATAGCTGAATTTATCTCAGTTACATTCAACAACACATAATCCCTCAAGGTTCGATTCTCATTTTCTCCGCCTTCTGCCATCCTCTCACTTTCTTGTGCAACACAATCTTTCTTTTCTGTTTCTTCTACAAGTGCGCTCAATCTCAAAATCAATAGGAAGAAGATTACTGCTTCCAAATTTTCGCATGCACTTGCTCCAATTCCTAAATGGAACAAACAAACAAATTAATAAACAACAAAAAAATTCAGATTAATACCAAAGCTTTTGATTTCGATATTAGTAAAAATTTCATTCCTCGGCAACGGCGCCAAAAACTTGTTGTTCGAATTCGCAAGTGTACGAATCGTCACAAGTAATATAGAAGTGACTAGAGTATTGTCTCCACAGGGAATGAATTATTGCTAATTACCGAATTCGCAACTTCAATTTTATCTTAATGCTAAAAGATCAGAGAAAATGAATAGAGAAATAATTTGAATCCTAATTCAAAGAAAACAAGAAAACGCACTAGTATCAAGATATAAGATCGAAAACAGGGTGGAGTAAATTCTAGAGCATGACTTCACCAATATCTCCCTTTATTTCTTGAAACTATTATAAACCAAGGTTGTTGGCGGGTTCTATTCTATTGACTCTATATTCTTTCTCAAGCAATAGCGAGTTTCTTTGAAGAGTAGAGCACCTATATTTTTATGGCTACTGATGCAGTTCAAATACTCAAGCATGTAAAACCCAAAGATGCCACCAATTTTGCAAGAATATCACTATCTCTTGCTCAAATAAAGGAGAACTATTCAAGTCTAGCCAATAATCTTGTTTCTCAACCTCGATTTATGACAAAGAATCAATGTAAAGATTGGCCAAATCCAAACAATGCATTAAAAAAAGAAAAGTTCTCACAACCAATAAGTTTAGACTAGAAATCAAATAAAGAATAAGGAGAAATAAAGTTTGATAAAGGTTGCATCAACGCCCTAGAAAAGTGTAATTAATTCATGCTATAACTAAGAACAACAATACACATCTTTGAAGGAAGTTGAAGCTAAAGGAGAGAAAGAAGAAGAGAATGAAAACAAATATGGCGATCTCTCGAGCCTCTGTTCTCCACGTTCCTTCCAATCTTCTCAAAATCCCAACTTTTCTCTCTAGAAAGGTTCTGCTCCTCTCTTTCTCCACTTTGGTGGCCAGGGCTAATATGAAATTTTAACAAAATTCTGTCGCGAGCGCTTAGGCGCCCAATTTCCGCGCCCAAGCACCCAAACACGTGCCAGCAAAAACCCTACTTCCAACTTCATAGCGCCTAGGTGCCCAACATTCTGATGGCCTGCACCTAGGCACTCAGCGCCCAACATTATGCCATTTTGTCAATTTTCGGCGCCTAGGCGCCCAACGCACTAGAATTTCGCTCAATTTTGCCTCTTTATTTGCTCTCTTTCTCCTCTTCTTCAACTCAAGTCCTACAAAGGAAAGAAACACTAAAACGATAAAACAATCATAAGAAAATGTCTGTAAAAATTATCAAATAACTCAAAAACACCCTAAATTACAAGAGCCAAAAGACACTTATCAACAGCTCCACAAGCAACTTCAGTTTCAACTATATATTTTGCTTCGACGAAGGACAGAGCTACAACTTGTTGCTTTTTCGAACTCCAAGTTATTGTATTAAACCCTAAGAAAACTACATATCTTGAAGTACTCTCTCAATCATTAAAGAAACTTGCTGCTTAATCATTGTCAGTGTAGTCAACGAGCTTGCAATCATGTACCTCGAAATGATGTTGATTGGATAGATCAATGAACCAACTAGACTTTGTAAAGTCTTTACATCTGCTTTACCAGAGTTACCTTCCTATTATAACTTTTAATTTTATGTCATAGGAGTTACAACTGGCTTGCAATTGCTCATGTGAAATTTTTTGAATAAATCATCCATATACTTTTCTCCAAAAAGAAAAACCTCACCTGCTTGACTTGAATTCCAAGAAAATATATCATGAGACCTAAATTAGTCGTTTCAAATTTCTTCATCAGGCTTTGCCTAAATTCCTTTAGCATTTATGAGTCAGTCCCAAAATATATCATATCATCAAAATATAAGCAAATAATAAGGAAACTTGTACCTCCCTTTTTCACATAGAGAGATGATTCACTCAGACTTTTCTAAAAAGCATTGTGATAGAAGTATCGATTAAGTTTGTTGTTCCATGCACGAGGTGCTCGCTTTAATCCATAGAAGGTCTTATGGAGTTGATAAACTTTCTTCTCCTTTCCATGAACAATATACCCTTGCCTTGAGGCTACTTATGTATATTTCTTCTTCCAACTCGCCATTCAATATAGCAGATTTGACGTCAAGTTGGAATATATTTAATTGTAACCAGGCTGCTATAGCAAGAACAGTTCCTATTTTCTCCATCGAGTTACTGGTGAAAAAGTCTCATTACGGCAAACATCAGATCGTTGGGAAGAGACCTTTGCCACTAGGCAAGCTTTATGCTTCTAAATGAAACTGTCTTCTTTGAATTTAGTTTAGAAGATTCATTTTAAGGCAATCGCTGCTTTTCCTAGAGGTAAGTTTTGAAGCTCTACGTCTTATTTCTTTCAATGCTGGTCATTTCTTCATTCATAACTCTGATCCAAACTTCTTCTTTTGTTGCATCATGAAAATTTTGTGGCTCAAAAGCAAACATGGCAAAGTGTTCATTTGAATCATAAATATCTTGCAAAGATCACATTCTTATTGGAGGAGATTATGAGCTATCTCTTGATTTGTAGATGTTGATGAAGAACTCCTTTCTGAGTTAAAATTCTAAGAGTCCTGTTGCCAATCATGCTCTCGAATATTTTCATACTGTTGGGAAGGTGAAGAACCATTATTCACTGAATCGAATGTGGCCATTTTATCGAATATTATCTGTTGATTTAAACAATTTCTTCGTCTTGGGGTTTAGCAATCAAATATCTCTTTGATTCATCACTATGGCCGATGAATAAGTATTTAATTTCTTTTTAATCGAACTTCTCTCTTTAATGGGAAGAAACTCCCTAATAAGTTAGACAACCAAAAACTTTGAAATGATTAACAACATGCTTCTTCTTATTTCATGCTTTAAGAGGAGTTTTGTCTTAAATTGTTTTAGTAGGACATCAAATAAGGATATAGACAGTAGCTTCTGCCCATAAATCATGTGGACGACCGTTCGCCTTCAACATGCTCCTTTCTGTTTCCACAATGGTTGATTTCTTCCTTTAAGTAATGCCATTTTGCTGAGGACTCTGCCAAATTGTTAGTTGTCTCATTATGTCATGAAGTGTTCCATGAATGGCTTATAGAATAAAACTTACCTCAACAGTTATGTTCTCCAAATTTTGATCTCTTTGCCCCTTTAATTTTCTACAAGAGCTTTGAATTCGAAAAAAAAATAGCAAAAGTCTTTGATTTTTCATTAAGGAAATAAATACACATATTCTTGCAAATCATCAACAAATAATATGAAATATCATTTGTTGGTGCCAGATGCCTTGTGGGACCAAATGTCACTAATATATATACATAGTATTAATACCAATCATTTTAAACTTATTTAGAAATAAAATAGAATTTATTTGTTAATTTAAATATTTTTTACGATTTTTTAATTTCTCTAACTTTTATAAAAATATTTATCGACATTGACATTTTATCAATATTTCCGTCGTTATTTACATGAAATTGAAACTTCGAGATTTAAAACGTTGCTTCCAACGATGTGTATATTGCACCACTTCAACTTATAGTTACTGTTATTTTGGCCACATGCATACGTCAGTCAATTCAGGTTTTACTTGGATCTGATTTTTACGAACCAAATTTTTTTTGTTTTTTCCTCTCTTCTTTTTACCTTCAAAGCCTTTGCTGGAAATTTTCTTAGCGGCTCTTTGTGATGTTTTCGGGTAGATGGTGGTAAGTTTAGTCCTTCAAACATTCTCCAAAAACTCGTGGCCACATCGAGTTACATGTCCCTATACCTCTCAACAAAACGGTATAATTGAACATAAACGTTGTTACAGAGTCAATATTAGTCTCACTTTTCTTTCTCAATCTTCAAGACCTCCTACATTATAGGATAAAAGCCTTCTCAACTCCTACTTTCCATACCAATCATATCCGTACTACAGTTCTTAATGGAGTTAGTCCAATGGAAAAGGTATTTTCTGAAAAGGTTGCATTATTCCTTTCTCCGCAGTTCACACATAAACTTTATGTTTAAAAAATTTATGACATTTTATATTTTTTTGGCAAAAAGGACCTTGGCTTTATTTTTCAAATTTGATAAGATTTAAAAAATAACTATTAATATGTAAAAAATAAAAAAAATTATCCTAAAATAAAACATAAAATCATTATTGTAAAGTAAAAAATTTCTAGTATAGTTTAAAAGATTTCATACACCTAAATTTTCAAGCATTCACATAATTTAAACTCTACAAAACCAAAAATATAAAAGAAAACAAAAAAGAAAAATGCAAGTACTTGGCCCATTGCTTTCTTCTTATAAGAGGACCTCTTTTATTCTTAGCCCATTGCTCCATTTCACAGTTCCCAAAATCTCTCTCTCCCTTCATTTCTCTCATGGAGCCTCTGGTCTTACTATTTGCTCTTCCATTACTCTATTTGCTTGTGAAAATATGGAAGCATTTTGATGCAAAGAGGGACCAACAATGCTATATTTTAGACTACCAATGCTTCAAACCAACTGACGACAGAATGCTGGGCACTGAGCTCTGTGGAGACCTTATGAGGCGCACCAAAAATCTTGGCCTTGAAGAGTTCAAATTCCTTCTCAAAGCCGTCGTCAACTCCGGCATCGGCGAGCAAACCTACGGCCCGAGAGTAGTCTTCTCTGGCAAAGAACGCCGCCCTTCTCTTCTCGACTCCATCTCTGAAGTCGAAGAGTTTTTCCAAGATTCCCTCCAGAAGCTCTTCGACAAGTCCGGAGTTTCCCCCTCCCAAATCGACATTCTCGTTGTCAACATCTCCATGTTCTCCACCTCCCCTTCTCTTGCCTCGAGAATCATCAACAGGTTTCTTCTTGACTACTACAATCTATCAAATCCTGTATTCAAACTTCTGTATTATTTAACAGAACTGTCAACCTCTTGAAATAGGTACAAGATGAGAGAAGACATTAAAGTGTTCAATCTGGCTGGGATGGGATGCAGCGCCAGCCTGATTTCTTTGGACATTGTTAGGCAAATGTTCAAATCTTACAAGAACTCACATGCCATTGTCGTGACATCGGAGTCGCTCACTCCGAACTGGTACTCCGGTAACGACCGATCCATGATTCTGTCGAACTGTTTGTTCCGATCCGGTGGCGCGGCCATACTTCTGACCAACAAAAGGGGTTTGAGAAACAAAGCCATGTTCAAGCTCAAGTGTCTGGTGAGAACCCACCATGGAGCCCAAGACGAGTCCTATGGCTGTTGCTTTCAGAAGGAAGATGACCAAGGCAACCTAGGTAATGGACCTCTCCTAAAACTGGATATTAAAAAAAAAAACATCTTTTCACAGCAAAAAAAGTTTGCATCTTTTGGTTAATTAGGACTTCGTTTCTAATGTTACTTGTTTATTTTTTCCAATTTTACCGAGAAATTTAAGTTTTTTTTTTAATTTACTTTCTTCTCATTTTTAAAATATTCTCAAAATTATATAGAAGTTTTGAAACCCCATAAACAATTTTCTTTTCTTATTTCGGTTTGTAATTTCTTCCAAAACAAAAAATAAAAGGTTAGCATCATACAATTCACTTAAAACAAGAAACAAAAATACTAGTAGTTAACGAATTCTCTATTTCTCTCTCAAAGGTTTCCATCTGGGAAAGACCCTACCAAGGGCAGCAACTCGAGCATTCACAGACAACCTAAGAGAAATCTCAACCAAAATCCTTCCCATAACGGAGATATTCCGGCTAGCACTCCTCACAATACTACACAAAATCTCCTTGGCCGGGTCCTCGAAGCTGCGTCGGCCGAAGCCAGCGGCGAACTTCTGGGCCGGGGCAGAGCATTTCTGCCTGCACACCGGGGGGAAGGCAGTGATAGATGGGGTGGGAAAGAGCCTGGGCCTGACGGAGTACGACCTCGAACCGGCTCGAATGACGCTCCACCGGTTCGGGAACACGTCCGCGAGCAGCCTGTGGTACGTACTGGGGTACATGGAGGCGAAGAAGAGGCTGAAGAAGGGGGACAGAGTTCTGATGATAAGCTTTGGCGCGGGGTTTAAATGCAACAGCTGCGTGTGGGAAGTGGTGGCAGAGTCCGGTGGTGGGCGTTGTAATGTGTGGGAAGATTGCATTAATGGCTACCCACCATTGTCCTTGGCGAACCCTTTCATTCAAAGGTTCGGCTGGATTCAGAACCAAGATCCAGCCACCTTCACATCGCTTTGACTCCAACACAAACCAAAATGGAAAGACAAGGAGGGTTGATATATATTATATTCTTTTTTGGAAGGAAAAAAAAGTTTTATTTTTTTGTTGAGATTTTCTTCCAACGGTGTTTACTGGTCACAATCTATCTTTGTGGCTTACTACTATTTAAAAATTTTAGAACATTAAAAAAGGAAGTTTAAACTTAGGTACTTAGGTGATTATTTGCAACCAACTGTTGTTACTATTTATTGTATTTTCTCTTAATTTTTTGATGTATTTATCTCTGTTTTAGTTGAATTTTTTAATGGTGGTAGGTAAGAGACATCTAGTCAATAAGTAACTAAATTTTATCTCAATATTTCTTATATATTTTTACATTTTTCTGACAAAAAATTTAATGGTGATTAGTAAAAAGACGCTGGTGTGTTCTTATTCTTTGGAACTCTTGAAAAGTTAGTGTCATTTAATTAATGTTTTACATTATTTACCGGTCACAATCAATCCTCGTAGCTGACATCATTAAAAATTTTATAACTTTTGGAAGCAGAAAGAAAAAAAAATATTATTTACTACGGTTAAAAATTTCACAGCTATTTATACTATGTATTAGCTCTCTTAGTTGAATTTTTTTAAGTAAGAGAGATATCTCCCTAATAAGTAACTATATTTTATCTCAATTTTTTCTTTTTGTATTTTTATATAAAAATTTAAGGAAAATACCTGTCTTCTCAACAATGAAGACGAATCATGTCCTCCTCACTTTGACAACTATGAAAGATAAATGCAAAATCATAAAAGTTTTTAAAATAATAATGAATTCCTCTTAGTTGTCAAATATTTAGTGGAGGGTTTCTCCTCATCTTCGAGGAGGTAAGTATTTTCTAAAATTTAATGATGGTTAGTAAAAAGAATAATGGTTGGTAGGTAAAGAGTTAAATTTTATTGTTTTTCTTTGATACTCTTGAAAGGTTGCTGTCAATTTCATTAAAGTCTTACATTATTGTTTGGAAGAAGTTTGGTTTTTGGGTGTGTGCTTATTTTTTGTCCAATATGTAATTTTGTCCTTTTCGACGTGTATGTATTTAATAAACAAAGTTACAAACGTTTTCTCGAGTGGGATGAACTATTATTATATACTTTTACTTTTTATCGCATAAAATTAAGTTATTGAGGTTTAAATCTCCGACCATAAAAAAGAAATAGGTGTCAATTATTGTTGATGAACTCATATTAGCTTCAATGAATTATTATTAATCATGTTTGTATGAATTAATGCATTAGGTTCACTAAATTAAATCATATCATGATGTTTCTTGTTCGGTTAACAAATTGAACTTATAATCTCATATCATGCCTCATTTAATCTCACTTAATCTGTTTATGAATCTATTTTTAGTGAAGGGTTGAGATTTTGTTTGAAAAAAATTAATAACAAAAAAAGAATGAAAATTAAATTTTTTTAGATATTAAAAACAAAAAGATGTATTTAGATATAAAGTTTAAATTAAAAATTTAGATATAAGGTATTTAAGTTTGGTTTAATGGTTTTTTAAAATTTGTATCATTTTCATGTATGTCATTTTCCTACTCATTTGGAATATAGCGAATGTTGTTTAATGTGTATGGATGTTGAACAATTGGGAGCAGTAAATGAGATTTGAAATAGGGATTTATTATTATTATTATTATTATTATTATTATTATTATTATTATTTTGAGTAAATAGATTTGAAAGAATAGTTAATGGTATAAGAGAACCTAAGTATTTATATTCCAGAGGTTTTGTTCTTCAGAATTTTTCTTAATCAATAACCTAGGTGTAAGAAGTTATAATAATTAATTATTTAATAGCACATATTTGTTAAAACTCATGTTACTAATAATTAGTTAATTAATTCATGAAATACAAGAAAAAATATTAGTGTTAACTAATTTTAATATTCATCAGTATATGTTAAATATGTGACAATTTTTTTTTAAATAATCTACATTAAACAAAATAATAAATATGTCAATTTAAAGTAATATAAAATACCCAAAAAGTTAACCAATAAAAATTAGTTTTCATTAATTAACTAAAACTAAAATGATACAAATTAAGATAAACGTCAATACATCCTTCTTTACTCTTATATTTTCATTGATTGAGAGGGAAAAAAAATAATTTATGTGAATATCAGAAATTAATTCATGTTACAAAAAATAATAACCAAAAATAACAACTGTGATGGGTAGCATCCCAACAGTACACGCGTTCGTCCCTTTGCGAACGTGGGCCCACTGAGAATCACTTTCTTAGAGAAGATGTCATCGATTAGAAAATGCTTCTGCTTGGGAGGGGACGAAGGATTGTAAACGGTTATACCCAGTACACGACCACAACTGGCAACGCACGTTTGTCGATACGATAGGCGCACCTCACCGTTCTAGGCAACATGTCCAAGGAGCAAAGTTGGCGGAGCCACCCTACTACTGTCGGAACTGCGTTTCCTTCTTCTCAGCCGTACAGTGTGCAACGTCCGTGACACCTCCAACCATCGTCCTTCCTGGTCGGCCTTCTGAGGCTATAAATGGAAGGACCACCATCCTCACAAAGTAAGTGAAAAACTTATCACTAACCGTTGAGGTGTCTTTTTCCTACTGATATTTCGATTACTAACTCGATCGTCGGAGTGCATTAGTCGGGACACCACACCGACGTCGAGTTCTTTAGTTTCAGGTCCTGTGGATCCAAGGTCGGACTGCTCGTCCAGATAGCACGTAGCCCTCTGCTAAAAATCGCTGTCAACGATAACGAAATAAAATAATAAAATTTAATTTCAGTCTCATTTATTACAACATTTATGAATATATACCAATACAAAAATGATTGCAAATAAAATGATTTTTTTTAAAAAAAAAAATCTCTTTTATACTAATTTTTAAATATTGTTTTAAAAAAAACCATCCTAAGTCCTTACCGACTCCATTATTCCTCGTTTATTCAATTTCCACGTGTAAATCGTAATGCTCAGGTGTAATATTTCAAAATATAAAAAAAAATACTTACCCAAGTATTACTACGTAAGAGTTTATAAATGTGACATATTTTCATTGATTTTTAAACTTTAATTTCTTCTCTCTCTTCCATTACTTTGTCCTCTTACTCCATCCCTCCGTAATTTTCTTTTCTCTCTTTTTTCTTGAGTAATTTCTCTCTCTCCATAAGTTCTCCCTTTTCTTCTTCCTTCCTGGGTAACTTTTTTCTCTGTCTCTAAATCCCCGAAAATAAGTTGATCACACAGGAATTATACAAAATTAAAAAATCCACTTGTTTATATGTTACACAACCCATGAATTCAGAAGGAACTTTCTACTGAATCTTCAAGAGAGAAGTTTTGTCCATGTAATAATAGGCAGGAGTTGGAATTTCAACTAATCACTACCTTTTTGTCGAAATAGGTGTCTTAACCAGATAAGTTAAGTTCATGTTGGTTTTTTTTTCTTTTTGTATGTAATTATAAAATGATCTCTCCTTTTAGTACCAACAAATAAGGAAGCCTATAGCTAGAGATTTCAATTTTAATGAGATGATTAACATAGTTTATGGCCACTTAGGTATACCATTCGAATTTTGTTTCTTTCTTTTAGACTCACTGAGGTCATGTTTACTTTAAAAGAATGAGAAGAAGAAATGGAAATCAATCTTCTCATTTGGTTGAAGGGTTGTTAACCAAATTGTAGGAATGGAATAATCAGTCAAATCTACATCAAACTTGGTAATCTCATTCTCTAAAATGGTTAATCTCTTTCCTCTCTTACACACTCGTTAATTCTATTATCATTATTTAATATTTGAGCCACACACATTTATTGTAATGACTTTACTACTTTTACTCTTCCTCTAATATATTAAGGCGACAGATAACTTTTTTTAATTAATTATTTTATAATTTTATTATTTCTTTTTCAATTGTACTACTAATAATTTTCCTTCTAACAAAAAGTTATAGTACTTTTACTTATTGATATAATTTTATTATAAAAAATATTATAAATTTATATTTAATTTTTTAATTTCACTTTATTATTGTTAATTAATATCAATAAATTTTTAAAATGTAATTTATTATTATATTAAATATTAAATTTAATAATATTTTATATTAATGGATGATTGTTTTAATTAAAAAGTATGTCAGTGGATGAAATTTTATTTTAATCGTTCATTATTTATTAATATTAAATAATTTTTTACAATAAAAAAATATCTACTTTCAACAATATAGTAATTAGATGAAACAAAATTTGTTAATAAGATAAATTAACACAACAATGTATTTATAATTAGCTCGAAAAAAAAGGTTAACTAGTAATTGTTATATTCTAATTCTAATTCTAATTTCACATAATTTTAATATACAACATCAAATTAATTCTGGTTTTAATTCTAGAAAATTTCTAAGAAATAAAATAAATAACATTCTCGTTCTGATTGATTTGATTTCGATTAATTTTCATTCCTATTCCGATTCAAATTGAGCCTAGATCAAATTGATTGAGCATCTCTAGGGGAGATTTATTTTTTAAAATTGTTTTAGGACTCTATGATCTAAACAATATTTTTACGTCAATGGTCTTTTAAGACTTTAAACTTTAAACTCTAAAATACATAATTACATTATATATATCAAAACTTTTATAAATATAAGATACGAATTTATTAGTTTTTAAAAGTTAAAATTTGTAAAACATAAATATATTATAAATTATACAAAATATTGTCAAAATCAAAATTTCTTACATATATATATTAACAAGTGCCACCGAATGCCAAGAGCAAGAAGGAGATCAATAAAGAACCAAGAAAACACCCACACCTCTAGGACAGCCCCATCGCACGCACGTTGCTTACCCAATGCGCCATCTTAACGTCGTAAGTTAGCACCCTACGTGCAGTAGCGCTCAACTTCTCGTGTGCCTCTTAATGCATGTCCTGTGTGCGTGTCTGTGCTAGCCCTGCCACACGCCTCTTGCCACACACCCATGCGCGCATGCCCTACTGTGCACCTCTTGCCACACACACCTACCTGCATGCCTTTCAGTGATCATGGTCATGCTCGTCCAGGGCCTGTCTCCCATGGCTGCATGCTCGTAACACTCTCTTTCCTCCTAAATTTATATCATGTATTTAGTTTTGCATGTTATTTACTTTTCCTCGTATTTTTTGTGGCAAGTGA